CAGTTTTTCCGGGGCTATCAGACGCCGTTTGAATTTTGACGATCGGCCCAGTAGTTTCGGAGTTAGGAGGGGGGGGGGCTATGAATAGCCCCCCCCCCCAGTAGGGCGTGTTATACACAGACCCCAGTGGGGCGCGGGTTAAGGCAGTTTACTTTTGTGATTCGCCAAAGCATCAAAACGCTTTATTTCAGCATCAGCAGAGGGAAGTTTGGAGTTTGTCGCTATCGCTGTGACACGAGCAGTCAAGCACTTGCACAATTCACGCTGACAACCACTCAGGCATAAGATCCATTCGATCTACGTTGCTCGGCATTGGTACTCAGTGCTCAGTGCTCACCTAACCTGGCTAAAACAGCTGAAACATCTAGAAACTGAAGCCACAGAACTGTGATCTAAAGAAAGTCGGTTAGCCGGTTATCAATAATCAAGTGACAAGTGGTAACAGTTCCGAACAGGGACGTAGCCAAGGGGGGGGGCGGAGGGGGCGCCCGCCCCTCCCTTGGGGTTTTCAGGAGGCCCCCCCCCCCCCCGAAAGGATTCAGGCCAACGTGGGCTGGCCTGAATCCTTTCGGCCTGAATCCAACGTGGGCCTTCGGCCCACGTTGGCCAAAATCACGTCGGAGGTGAACGAAATTCACGCGGGAATCTAAAAAATGACGTCAGAACAATCAGGGCCCTCTGACCAGCCTGACAAGTGACAGCTAGGGCCCTTCTCATCTCCTGTGAATAACCACTAGTGTCTGTGTCTGACCGCTAGGGCCCCTCTGACTCCTCAGTAGAGAGGAGGCCCTCTGTGGGTAGGAGGCCCTGTGTAGAGAGGAGGCCCCCTTAGAGAGGAGACCCCCTGTAGAGAGGAGGCCCTCTGCAAAAAGGAGGCCCTCTGCAAAAAGAGGCCCTCTGTAAAAAGGAGGCCCTCCGTAGAGAGCAGGCCCTCTGTAAAGAGGAAACCGTCTGAAATCAGAAGGCCTTTTGAAGAGAGGAGGCCCTCTGTAGAGAGGAGATCGTCTGAAGAGAGGAGGCCCTCTGTAGAGGAGGACTCCCTCAGTAGAAAGGAGGTCCTCTGTAGGTAGGAGGCCGTCTGTAGAGTGAAGGCCCTCTGAAGAGAGGAGGCCCTTTGCAGAGGTGAGGTCCTCTGTATAGAGGAGGTCATGTGTAGAGACGAGACTCTGAAGAGAGGAGGCCCTATATAGATAGGAAGCCCTCTGTAGAGAGGAGGTCCCTGTAGAGACTAGAGAGGAGACCCTCTGTAGAGAGGATGCCCTCTGTAAAGGAGGCCCTCTGGAGAGAAAGACACCCTCAGCAGAGAGGAGGCCCTCTGTAGATAAGAGGCAATCTGTAGAGAGGAAGCCCTCTGTAGATAAGAGGCCCTCTGTGGGCAGGAGGCCCCCGGTAGTCAAAGACAGCGTCGTATGTTAAGTACATAGAGTGGAGGCCCACTGTAAGCAAATTACCTTCCGGCTTCTGTTCCCTGCTACTCTCTATAGAGAGTTCTCAGTTCTCACTATAGTGAGAACTGAGAACTCAGGAAACTGTACAGAATAGACTCCCAACCGCGTCGCCGCCCACTGTAGGAAGGGACAGGGGAGGAGGTCCTCTGTAAACAGAAGGCCCTATCCTATGTAGACAAATTATTTGTATAAATGCGCTCAGAGAAATCATGCCGGGTGCCGTCAACGGTTTTGCCGTCAACGGTTTTACCTGCAGTGGCCGCAAAAACTGCCAAAATAGCCGATATTTTCGGAAACCAGTTTTCGGCACTAACTTTCGTCTCAAAATTTGCACGAACTTCCCTTTACCAGCATCGTGTTCCTCTCGTCAAGACGTGTGGAATGAACTATCAATTGACCTTGAAAGGTCAACTTGAAAATTTGGCAAGGTCAACTTGAAAATTTGGCAAGGTCAACTTGAAAATTTGGCCTCAGGTCAAGGTCATGACCTGACCGATAAGGGCTAAGTTCCATATCAGTCCATCCGTATCGTCGGGCCAAACACAACTAAGGTGTATTCATCGCTCTAGCATGCCTCTATCAAAAGTTATTCGCGAAAAAGTTCGATACCATTGGTGACCTGAGATGACCTCAGGGTTATAAAAAGGGGTCACGGGTGCCATTTTCATGTTCAGTGTGTCAAAGATACTAGTAATTCAGTGTTTTCGAGTGTTTATAATGACTTCCGTCTAAAAAGGCGACTTTCAATTTAAGGTCGCAAAATTGACCTGACCTTATGTCATCGATATCAAAATTCCAAGACATACATTTTTTGCATTTTGTCGCTCTTGTGCATTTGCATCTCTGAAAGTTTCAAAGCGTTTGGTCACTCCGTGTAGCTTTGGCAGACATTGAAACTTATGTAGTGAGGTCATTTGACCTGACCTGGTGACCTGACTTTAAGTAACCAGGGTCTGAAATTTTCACAACATACATATGTAGAAATGATGTAGGATAAGGTGTGGCGCGCCGCCGTTTTTGAGATATTCACGGTAAAGTTTACCGTGAATGTAAACTGCAGGGGGTGTTTAACACCCCCCCCCCCCTGGCAGGGCGCGGGTTAATGCATGAACATTGAACACAGCAGCCCATTTCTGTAATATATAGATACCTGTGGCTGTGTTGGTATTTTTACGATGCATGCAATTACCCAAACCATTTATCAGACCGTGGTGATATTCCCATAGCCATGCTTCGCACAACTCATAATAATTTATTTGACCGGGAAATTAATATATACCTATCCATCGATTTGTTTGTTTCATCTACGGCGTAAATGAGGCAAACCATCTGGACCTAGGAAAAATTACTAACGAAACCATGTTTTACTTACAGCAAGTAAACGTGGCATCACTCACACAGAAAGAATTGATAACCGTATAGTTTCAATCTTGCAGACGTCAGTCAGGTCAGAATCGTGACAAGCCTATTGGAAAATATAATGAACTGTGTCCTGCTTCGAGTAAACGAGTCAAAATCACCCAATTCTTTCTGAATTAGGGGAAGCGGGGGGAGCACCGCCACCTTAAGCATTTCTGCTCACCGAGCTGATATGCGTAGTAAAAACGAAGCTCTTTTGCATTCATGTGAAAGTAGGAATGTTTTCCTACATGTTGGCATAGTTTCCAGCGCTCCATTATAAAATTTCGCTACTTTACAGACGTCGAAAACAAGTCCTGCATTTTTCGTCCTCCAAAAAATGTGCGGGTAGCACCGCCACTGATGGCGATGTTATCCACAGATCGGCCTTACGGTGACAGCCACCCTTGGAAGCGTTACTGCTGTCTGAAATAGTAACTCAAACTCATATAAGACACACAAGAGTTGGTTGTTAGTTTGTCACAGATCAGACTGTTTGTTGCGGACAATATGCATGCAAAGCATGACAAATTCACGCTTATTTCGAAACATCCAGTGAAGTCAAACGTGAGGTTAAAAAACAGACGACGTTTGCGGCCTAACTAAAGCTCTTCTCCGAGCTGAGTGAATCATCATTGCGGCTTTATCCATTTTGCCACCCCTTGGGGTAGCACCGCCGAGCATGGCGGTGTTACCCCACTCACAGTCATGGACCGACAACGCCCCGACAGCAAAACAAGCCCGGAAGCGATTCTTCTGTAATTCCTTTCTCAACAAAGAGCACTTCATGCCCTCAAATTTAACGTAAAAATCAAGGCATTTTGACTTGAAATGACCACTTACTTGCTGCTCAAACATGCCAAATGATTACAACGATGGTTTGAAATTCACAAAATGGGCAATTGCGATCTCAAAATCAAATAAATCTTAGCGAAACCTACCTCACGCGGCGTCCCGTTTCCGTTCGGACACCGAAATGGCGGGTGTTTACATTTACAATTCAGAGTTTTGCCGATAGAGAGGATGGCGGTGTTTCCCACATGGCGGTGCTACCCCCGCTTCCCCTACGTCAGATTAGCTGATCTGTAAGCACCCAGGTGGCATTTACTGACAGGGGCACCGGGAAGGATCATCTGAGGCGAGGTGAGGTCATCATTTGGTATGATTATATATGTTGTTGTTGAGCTGGGACGGATTCATTTGGTAAAAGATTGTTCAAACACCAGCTTTAAGTTTTTATTGGGAGCTTTCGGAAGCGTTACAGCTTCCTTCGTGATGATGGGGCTAAATAGTTGTTAGTGTACCAAACCGTTCGCCTGGTCATGACGCGCCGATTGGTACCCAGCGTGACCTTCCTAGGTCAGATTTTGAAGTTGACCTATCTATGTAGTTAGGTCGTTATAAGCCATATTATTTGTTATGACCTCTGGCGACCTCAATATTGACCTGACCCAAAAAAGTTGTTTACAAAAGTTGTAAGTCGTTCAACGAACTATCAAACGCCGTTGCCGTTTGTCGCTACGATTCGTGCTTTTCGAGTTCTGACGAGGGCCAAAAAGGCCCCCGCCCGATTCAGAGTCTTTCAGAGCCCGCCCGGAATACGGTTAAGCGCTTGAACGATATATGATAATACACCAAGTGTTACTCTGACCGTCATCCAGTATCCACCCTTTTTTTTTTTTGCCAGTTACCATGCCACTCGGAGACTTGTGATATGCGTATGTTTCTTACCGCTGCAGCGGTTAGAATAAAGAAACATACCAGTGCGCTGGCCATATGAAAGCTGAACAAAAGTCTGCATTATATTGTATATGTAATTATGTAGGCATGAGACCCTCGGTAGAAAGGAGGCCCCTTTAGGGAGGAGGCCCTCTGTAGAAAGGAGGCCCCCGGGATTCCTCCGCCCCTCCCTTGGCCTAATCCTAGCTACGTGCCTGGTTCCGAAACCGCTAGTTCAGGTCACGTTAGTCATTACGGATTCAAACCCGTCAGCACGGACCGTCAAGACCCTTAGACTGAACGGGTTACCAGTGTCAGTATACGGGTCAGTATACATACGGGTATTTACGGGTCTTTGAGTCACAACCAAAATGAGTCTGCAACGGTAGGTATATTAGCGATACGCGTCATCCGCGATAAGTGAAAACACAGAGCTGCGGCCGTTTGTACCGACACATGATCTTTATTTCAGATTCACGAAGCAAGATCTACACCAATAAGCCAATCACACAATACATAATTGACAAATGACAAAATGGTATTCCGGCCGTTTATAGCAGACAATTTATAGGTCGTCGAAGGCTGCGCTCAGGTGGACGTGGTATACAGATTACGGACAACAGACAGCGATAAGGTGTCTGAGAACAGACAGCGATAAGGTGTCTGAGAACAGACAGCGATAAGGTGTCTGAGAACAGACAGCATTAAGGTGTCTGAGAACAGACAGCGATAAGGCGTCTGACAACAGACAGCGATAAGGTGTCTGACATTTGATAACAGACAGCGATAAGGTGTCTAAGAACAGACAGCGATAAGGTGTCTGAGAACAGACAGCATTAAGGTGTCTAAGAACAGACAGCGCTCAGGTGGTACGGAGAACAGACAGCGCTTAGATGGTACAGAGAACAGACAGCACTCGGGTGGTACAGAGAGCAGACAGCACTAGGGTGGTACAGAGAACATACAGCGTTCAGGTGGTACAGAGAACATACAGCGCTCAGGTGGTACAGAGAACAGACAGCCGTAGTGTGCGATGTACAGATACAGACAGCGTTCAGGTGGTACAGCGGACACCGGCAACCTCTCCAGCTCCACAGTTGTGTCTTTTCCAGCCGAGGTAGTTGCAATTTATCAGAGCTGATTCCGAACCACGACACTCAACGTTATCCATGAAGAAGTTCGCTCCTCGACCAAACGTGGATTTAATTTTTGCGATTCCTGATCTGCAATTGTCAAAAGAATAACCACCCTTCAATGACTGATGGATACTGTTTGACTGATATAATATTCTTGCAATAAAGTGCAGCTGCAACAGCACTATATTGGCTGCGTTACCGGTTACAGTGAGACACAGCATGGCAGATGTGATTTTTGAAGTACGATTTTATTCATAGTTATAAATCATCGTGAGCATAGTTAATTGCACGACCGATTGCATAGTGCATACGTTAATTGGCGACGAACATGAACATCTTAGTTTGCCGGATATATCTACTTTCCCACGGGTTGGGATCCCACGGGCCACGGGTCTGACAGTTGGGATTTTTTCCATGAGAAACGACCCACGGAATTGTCGTCGCTAGCCCTTTTCAACAGGCATGACCTCTAGCCCGATCTATTGACCTGCATATTTTTATAGACCCGACTCGTGGCCATGTCAAATAAGTTTCAAAGCCCGAAATGTTCGTTTGCAGATTATCTGAGGACGTGACGAGACCCTCCCAGCTCCATCCTCCGGTGGACTAGGATCAAAAACAGGATCAGTAGGTATCCTATAGGCCATCTAAGACTCAAGTGACTACCATTCACGGACTTCAGACAGCAGATAGTCTCATAGAGGCCGTTGTAGATTCTGAAGATAGTCCGTCCCGAGTGCGACCTTCATCATTTTCATAAGTGCCCATGAAGAACGGTGCTCATTCGTCTCAGAATGTAGATGGCTTTTTATATGCAAGTACGATTGGCGTGCACTTGCGAAATGCGCTCACAAATCAACGTAAGGTTCAACATTTATCAATATATCGCATCACCAATGTCATCCTTACCAATGCCGGTCGTCAATACCACTAGCTCTTGCAACATATACCAAGACGATCCCAATGGATTTTGACGTTATCAAGTTCTCAATGGATTCATTGAATCAACTTTTGAAGAGGGTTCAAGATCGAGGTAGAATACATAGTTTGGGTCGGGATATTTGAAGGAAGAGGATAGAATGCTCACCTGAAGCCCAACGATTTGCAAATGACCAGAGCGTCGCTGCTTCCCCAGCTGTCGTCACATACGAGACCCCAGGAGCCACCAACTTGTCTCAGTTGGACATTGCCTTCGGCACAGGAAGATCCTCCATCTAGCCGGTATTCATCTGAAAATGGTGTTTTTGTACTGGCTGATCTTCCAGCTGGTTGAATTGCACGCGTGCAATGTGCATCCGACCAATATTAACGGCCATATAATTATTTAAACTGTAAAAACTCACTGACAGTGCAAGAGTTTGTCGTTTGAAACACTTCACTTAACATAACGTGAGCTAAAAACAAGCACTTGCCACCTTTAAAGGAGCAATATGTAGAAGTTATGACAATACTTACAAGAATCTATTGTTCTGGTGATGCAAGAACAAGTCCCTGACGTGCACTCGAGATGTAAATTCGAGTCGCAATCCTGGTCACCCAGGCAGGAGCCATCCATGTTCACTGCTGAAACTGAAGAAGCAGCGGCTTTTTTTGCCATTACAAAAGTAGGTAAACATATTTTTGTATACACAAAAAGCAAGCGAATCAATTTATGGACGAATATGAAGTTACATGAGTACCTACAAATAGGATAATGAAGCTTAATGAGTGATGTTTTCAAACTGTTTTGCTTAAATATAGCCTTTCATGTTGTATTAGGCATATTTAAGCTGTATTAAAACTAAATGTATCTTTAAACTGATCAAATGCTATGCCATCCTATGGGATGCTTTCAGACCCCCATTCGCTTAGTGGGGGCCCTGTCCTTGTGAATCCTTCCATTCAAAAGGCTCTGACTGAACTAGAAAATTAAAATGAAATAGAACAAAAAGCTAGCCTTCCACCCGTTAATATTACTTAACTGACCTAGCCGGCACTCCGTGTTGTTGTGATTCCAGAAGCCGCTGTCACAGGCGCACCTGTCGCTTGTGCAAGAGGCGTTGGATGCCAAAGACTGTAGACAAAGACAAAATCATGCAGTTTAATCAAGAAAATTTGCATCGTTATTAGCTTGATTGTATATTATTTAGGCTAAGCCATCGTTGCATCACTGAAACCTCAGCACACGCCCTACATAGTAGGTCACTCATATAAATCATAACTCATACATACGCCAGTGGCTTCACTTAACATGAAATACGCAAATATGCAGTTGGTTAACCCGCGCCCCGCTGGGGGGGCAGAATCTGCCCCCCCTTCTCCCGTTTTTCGCCAATAACTTCTAAATGCGTTACGCCAGCGACGTCAAACTTCCAGCACCTTATAATACATCAATTTGACACGTTCCCTGAAAATTTCAGCAAAATCCGTCGGAATTTTTTTATTTAGAAAAAGACGTTTTGGTGACATCATGTTCGCCATTTTCGCCTCAAAAATGGCAAAATTTCAAACGCCGCTAACATCTTCGTTTTTAAAGGAATCAAGACGCAAAAAAAAAATATTATATGTGATTTCACTTTGTCTATCAAATGGCTATAGTATCTCGGTTTTTTGAAAAATTTTGGATTTTAACCCAATTTTTGTATAAAAAACTGATTTTTTTGGGAAAATAATTATAAAATCCAAATTTTGAGTGTATAAAAAACACGGAATATATGTCAGAGAAGTGATCTATGTGCACCTACATACCAATTTTCAGAAGAATCGGTTCAAAAATGTGGGAGTTATTCAAAATTTTATGACGTAATGACACACAAAATTTTTGAAAAAATGATTTTTTGGAAGTTATAGACCTCGTACGGAAACAAAAATAGCACCATTCGATTCTCCGTGACAAACTGCATCAGATAGACACCTTTTTAGGCCTTAACAGCCAACTTCAAAATTTGACCTCACTTGACCTGACCTTGACCTGACCTCGACCTGAAGTTTATCCAGGTGTGGTACATATCACTTATTGAGTGTGCCTATTGAATTATATGATTAAAATGACCCATAAAACATGTGTCGTACATGCCCTTTTCTATAGGGGAGAGCGGGGAGAGTTGTATCATGTCCAAGTTGTATCAGGGCGAATTGTGCCAAACTTATCCAATAGATGGCGCTCGTGACACGACCAGCCGACGAGGTTTTCCGGGCGCCATCTTTCCCTGTTCTGTCGTGTGGCTGGGTGGACGCGTCTCAAGGTGAGAGCCGATTTTATGTTTTTTAATGTCATTCTAAAAAAATAAGTTGCAAGAAAATGTGTGGTTTGGGCATTTAGATGTGCACGAATTTGAAAGATCTCCATAGCGGTGGTGAGGGTAGGTTCTAAAGTTGCGTGAGTGAAAATGGATTGCTCCAGCCGTCCGCTGTTTTTGAGCACGAGGATGTTTTTTCCAAGATGGCGGCGAGGTACATGTTGTATCAGAGCCGGGTGGGGTATGTTGTAACATGTATGTATGCATGTATGTATGGGTATGTTGCTTTTGATCGCGAAAGCTAAGCCCTGGCTCGCGTTTGTAAGTAGCTAGTCATTTCGTTCCATTTCGTCACACTCACAATGTGTTGGCTTCTTTGCTCTTAACGGGCCACTTTTGCGTCTAGTCTGTTGATGTTTCGTTCGTTTCGATGTTTCGTTCGGATTGCATTGACCTAAGTTTGGTCTAATAAAAGTGAAGCCTTTGAGCATATACATTGTATTAACCCCATTTAATGTTGTTATGTTCAAAACCAGTAGCAAACACACTCCCTGCCCTGAAATGTGAAATACCTAGTGATACAAATGTGATACAACTCACCCAAGCCATGGGGCAAGTTGTACCAAAAACATTGTTCTATTCGGCAGACCGTAGAAGAAAAACTGGTAGAGGTAGCGGAAAAGTTACTTGGTACAAAAAAGCAGAAGAATCAGGGAAGGAGATAGTATGAAAATAATGGGTTTATCACGGATAGTTACGAGGTAATGGGTCTCTGAGTAAAAACTGATACAACCCACCCCACTCTCCCCTATTTTGTTTTTGGTGACCTGACCTGACCTGACCTGACCTGACCTGACCTTGACCTTAACCTTCGAATGATTATGTATGCAACGAATATTGTCTTGGTAGCCTAAGAACACGTTTTGGGCAATCAGTCTCAGTCCATTCTTCGGCAACTACGGTGCAAGGCTGATAATGTAGAAACTTGCATTTTGTACCCTTGACCTGACCTTGACCTGACCTCTGAACTACTTCAGCAAAAAAAATGGGCTCTTAAGATCCGCCTTGTTGAGAGCTTTCGATTGCCGTTTTTCCCGTCTTTCTATGACCATCGGTTCGGAAGTTAGACAGGGGGGACAGAATCTGCCCCCCCCCCCCCCCAGCAGGGCGCGTACGGCTGAATAGCCCAGCGGGGCAGGGTTAAAGATCAAGCGTTTCAAAGACCAGGTAAGCCAACTTTCAGTTCCATGTCCCTTACTTGTTCCGATAAAGAAACTGCGAAAAAAAATGGTGGCACCATTACCCGGACAGAGCGGAGGAGGCTTACAAAAATTTAGAAAGGCGAGCATTGTTTAGCCCGCGCCCCATATAAACCTTCGCCTCGCTGGGGGATCCAATTTGGCCTCCCTGTGGTTTTTCCTAAATAGCAAGAAAACGGCAGCGCGCAGCGCCACCAAATTTTCAGTACCTTCCCGGGCATCAATTTGACACCTTCACATAAAATTTCAAGTCTGAACTCACCTTAGGTCAGGAGTTATTGAGGTCCAACTGAGGTCATGTTCGAGCAAAAATGAGCAAAAAACATGAAATCTTGAAACGGTCACAAAATTTACAGTTACCAAGCAATTTCAAAATTTATATGGTCATGTAGACAGAAAAGTGGCACTACAAAACTGCTATCTCGGATTTTCAAATTTGGGGGTTTTGACCCACAAAAATTCATAAAATTGATTTTTTTAACGCCAAAAAAATCCCAAAGTTTTCCGAATTTCAAAAAACCCGGAATATATGTGATAGTTCCTACGCTCTTCTATATACATACCAAATTTCAGATCGATACCTCCTTTTTCGCCAAGTTATGCCGAATAAACTGTTCAAAATTGATGACGTCAATTTTTCAAACTCAATTTTGGCAATTCTAGCCCACGTAGGGCAAAACAAAGACCACCATTAAACTCCCCGTGACGAGCTGCATCGAATCGATACCCCTTTTATGCAAAATATCAACTTTGAAATTTGACCTAACTTGACCTGACCTTGACCTGACCTTCACCAGAACATAATCTAAACTGACCCCAAAGGCTACCTGACCCACATAATCGTATTTAGCATCCTCGCAATTTTGCACGTGCAAGGCCCACCGCCCACCCTCTCGCTCGCCCCGTTGTTCGCCCCAAAAGGCGTTATATTGGTATATATAACTATCACCATCGTGATTCTGAGCTTAAATACATCCGACAGACACCTTTTTTGAAAAATTTCAATTTTAGAATTTGACCTTTTTTGACCTGAAAGTGACCTGACCTCAGCTATATTCAACTGAAAATGACCTCAAAGACACAGACGACGCTGATTTCGAAACCTATGGCCTAAATGGACCATAAAACATGTGTCACGTGACCGATGCATGAAAAAATTATCCGTGACCTGGGATGACCTGACCTTGACCTGAAAATCAAAAAGCAGAATTTTTCTACCCTCAGGGTATCTAAAGCATCTATTCAAGAGTGTGCAAACCAAAAATGAGCCTAATCTGACTTCTAAGCCGGCGGCTAGAGCCCAAATAGTGCACGAGACAAAATACTTATAATTTTGACTTTACCTGACCTGTGACGTCATCGGTGACCTCAACGTCAACAAAATAAGGTTTCCCTCATTCGACAGCTTTTTCCGGGGCTATCAAACGCCGTTTGAGTTTTGACAATCGGCCCAGTAGTCTTGGAGTAAGGAGAGGGGGCTATGAACCCCCAATAGGGCTGAATGGGAGTTTTCTATCGGGACCCGCGTATTTTGGAACATGCTACCCAGCCCAGTCGCCCAACTTTGGCGGCCCAAAAGGACACATTCCGTTATAAGGTGGTGTGACAAGCCCGGCCCGGGACCGGGGACAGGGAAATAAAATTTGGGGTGTGAATGGACTGCTTTCGAGGATTGAAGGATTGGAAGTACGAATACCTTAGGTATGAAATTAACCCTCGCATGTGTAGGGGGGTCGCATGGACCCCCTCATGGTTTTTCGCGAATAACTCGCGTAAAAAGCGGCCGATCGCGACGAAACTTTCAGTACCCTCGCATTGATCAATTTTACACCTACCCTGAAAATGTCATGACCCTGACCCAAATGACCTTTGACCTGTGACCTCTTTTCCGAGATCATATTTGGCCGGAATCGCGATACCGCGTATGTCGGCTCGCATTAGCCGCGCGTTTGCAAGCTTTTCGTGCTTTCAAACGTTTAAACATGTGATTTGATGTTGCTCCCATGTATTAGGGTCGGTGTCAAGGTCACCTGAAGGTCAGGTCAGGTCATTGACCTTTGGTATGGTGACCTCGGTTCACTTTTTCGAGTTTTACATGTTTCTAGGCTAGTTTTTGTTTAGCTGAATTCGAATTTAGCAACCATTTGAACATTTACGAAGTAGTTTTGGTGACTTCGTAACATGTTACGAAGCTGTCAGAGGCGGTTGACACGAACTACGAATACCCGTCACGGTTGACCTGACCTGACCTGACCCGACCTGGTCTAAATGCTTAAAGACATCATCTGTGATCAAAACTAACACGATATTCGTGATCAGCGTCCCGAAAAACCCCTTAACAGTCACACTTTACGACTTTCTAACAGGTCCCGATTTTCCCGACTTTGGGTTGTTGACCTGACCTGGAAGGTCAACCAATGACCTAGGACCTTAAAATTGGGTATCATCGGCTTCCTCCCGTCACGGGCAACACGCTCGTTTTTTCCGCGAAGCTCTAGCTCGATCAGGGGCCAAACGGCAAGGGGGGATCCAACCGACCCCCACCCCTTACACATTAGAAGCTGGCAAACGCCGCACACATGCGAGGGTTAAATACTATGCACATGGCGCCAAGGGCGCACACAAGGGGGGCACACGGGCCCGTGCCCTCCCCCCATTCGAGTTGGAGCCCCTTGTCCTTAGACCGCCGAAGACCGTGTAAAAATGAGCTGAAATAATGATTGAAAAGACGAGAAGGGCCCATCTCGTTCCCCAGCAGGCCTATATGAGTGTATAAAATGCCCAGTAGCGCAGCCAGAGTGATTGTGGTGAAATTTCAATGGCCCTCAAAAGGCCTCAAAGGGTCCTCGGATGGCGTCACAGGGTCCTCAGATGGTCTCCAAAGGCCCGCAGTTAGCGTCAAATGGTCTTCATCTGGAATCAAACGGCCCTCAGATGGCCTCAAAGGCCCCCAGATGGCCTTAAAGGGCCCTCAGATGGCCTTAAAGGGCCCTCAGATGGCCTTAGCTCTCAGATGGCCTTAGCCCTCAGATGACCTCAAAGGGCCCTCAGCTAACCGATAGGCGTTATCACTAGTGTATTCGCGGCCATTGGGGCGACGTAAGAAAAGAGGAAAACAACTGGCCCCAAGAACTTTAAATTATCAGTTAGCATGCATCTTTTCCTTAATATGTAGATAATTTACCATTAATTGTTAGAGAAAATTGCATATAAAATCTTCCATTTATGCTTTTTTCATCGTTTGCATAATATGTTCTTTTACTAAGCTAGAAACACTAATTAGAAATAGTTCCCGCATCTCGTCAAGAACAATAGGAAAGGCTTGAAGTGAATAGAATAATTTAAATGGTTTGTAATCTATGTGAAGACACTTCTAAAATTGCCTGTAGAAATATTGAAGGAAAAAGTTCAACTTTTTCACAAGACGGATGTCTATAAACCTATTCAACGTGTGACAACTCAGCCGGTATTTCGTCGCCTGCAGCCAAGCTTTCCCTAGTGACCGATAGAGGCGCTGCTATCGATGTCCGCCCGTGCCGCCTAACGCGTCAAACGAACCTCAGAAGGCCTTAAAGGGCGTCAAAGGGTCCTGAGCTGGCGTCAGAGGTCCCTGGGCTCGTGTCAAACGGCCCTTCGAAGGCCTTCAAGGGTCCTTAGCTGGGGTCAGAGGGCCCCTAGCTGGTGTCAGAGGACCCTCAGCTGGCGCCAAATGGCCATAAGAATGCCTCAAACGGTCCTCAGCTGGGGTCAAGCGGCCCCAAAAAGCCTCAAGGGGCCCTTAGAAGGCCTGAAAGGGCCCTCAGCTGGCGTCAAATGGACCTCAGAAAGCCTAAAAGGGCGTCAAAGGGCCCTGAGCTAGCGTTAGGAGGGCCCCCAGCTGATGTCAAAGGGCCCTGAGCTGGCGTCAGACTTTAAGGGCCCTTAGCCGATGTCAGAGGCCCTCCCCAGTTGGTGTAAGAGGACCCTCAATTGGCGTCTAATGGCCATTAGAAGGCCCCAAACGGTCCTCAGCTGGCGTCCAACGGTCCTCAGCTGACGTCAGGATGCCCTAACAAGGTCTCAAATGCCCCTCGGCTGCTCAAAGGGCCCTTAGAAGGCCTCAAAGGGAACTCAAGAGACGTTAAACGACCCTCAAGAGGCTTGAAATTGAAAGGCCCCTATGCTGGTGACAAAGGGCTCGCACATGACGTCAATAACAGCGTGGTCAAAAACGGGCCTGAGAGATCTTGCCGGCCCCTGGTTATCTGAGGGACTCCAACAGTTACCTCAGTGGCCCCCGTTTAAGGGCGCACACAAGGGGGGGGGGCACACGGGCCCGTGCCCTCCCCCATTCCAGTTGGGGATCTCTGGTCTGTGATCTCGCATCGTATCAGATATGACATTTCATGTCGATGTGCCTAAATAAATATGCGACTATACGTGAAAAAGGAGTGCTGCCCCCGTTCCTACACACCCGGGCCAAACAGTGACCGGCCCCTGCTTCTAGTGCACCCTGGGCCGGTCGGCCGCCAGGTAGTCAGTCGCTGCTCAGGGCTGATTTCTGAGGGACTTTCAAAAATGCTTATTGATTGAATGTTTTAGGTAATAACTAAGATGATTAGGTATATAGTATGTACCGACTCTGAGTTGCATTTGAATAAAAAAACCAGAGTAAAAAATATTGTACATGTTTTGAAAATTAAGCTGGTACCGAAATAATTGTTTTGCCATGCATTGACAAAAGCTCAAGCTTTAACCCTCGCCCGTAAACGGCGATCTGCCACCTTCGCCCATGCAGGGGGGGGGTTGGTGCGACCCCCCCCTTGGCGTTTGAAAACGGAGCGTCGTAGAGCTTAGCGGAAAGGACCAACGGATTGCTCTCGCCGAGATCTCGCGATTGGTGGTATATTTTTTGGTCCTAGGTCAACATTTGACCTACTTTTGACCGGTCAAAGGTCAAATTTTCGGAAAAATAGACTTTTTTCAACTTTCGGCGGCGATTGCGGCAAAACGGTGGGAGATATCGACTTGAAACCTTCACTATCGTGTTCCTTGATCAATTCTCTATCGTTTGGTATGTATTTCGTTTCCCTAGCTCTAAAAATGGCGCGTTGGGAGCGCCGGAAGTCGGCAAGGTCACAGTCGGCGGCAGAAATTCGAAAAATCAAAATTTAAATTTTTGAAATCTGATTGTATTTTTGGATTTGGGAGGTCCATTTGCTCCCTATAGAAGCTAATATTGCTGCATATTCCCATTGAGGTGACAAGAATTAGCAAAATAGTGGTTCGGGCGCTTTTCAAAAATAGTACCGGACGCTGTTCCTCTTGTGACGTCATAGCTCCGTGACCTGACCTGACCCGGTCAAGTTTCTTATACCATATGATAGCCAATACTTGCCCCAACATGCATGGGAAGTTTCATCACGATCCATCAACCGATGTCCGTACCACCGGCAGGAAACCTCGGGCGTTGGCACTCAGTTTGTGAAAATCCGGCCGGAGGCTGTTCCCTTTGTGACGTCATAACTCCGTGACCTGACATGACCCGGTCAAATTTTTTTATCAAAAGATGCGCAAGGTTTGCCCCATAAGGTACCCAAAATTTGGCGGCGCTGCGCGCCGCCGTTTTTGCACTATTTCCGAAAAACCTCAGGGGGGGGTTGCACCAACCCCCCCCCCTACATGGGCGAGGGTTAAGCAAACCGAAATATAACCCCATTGGCCGTTTTTTTTTTTTGGGGGGGGGGCCTTCGGCATGGGAGGGGGGCCCAGTTCGCAGGTCGTGCCCCTCCCATTCAAAAATGCTATGTGCGCGCCATGATGGCGCACTGCGCAAGCACTAGAAAGATGTCAAAAAAGTTAAACACAATCAGTTCGAAGTGTTTCTATGACACTGTTCCTTCAATCAGTCACCTACCTGGCAGTCGGCGTGCTCCAAACAAGGTTCCGCTAGGCGGGAGTGCTGACGACAGCGGAAATCGGACACCCGCCGGTAGCCGTCTCTGCACACACACACGCCTCCGGCGCACGTCGCTTCGGGCATCTGCCTGGAGCAGTCTGTCCTCTGGCTGCACTGCTGGCCCAGCACTATCCCTGAGGGAGTAGCATCACGGCAGTCAGCGAGCAGTCCTGGCTACACAGCTGGCTCAGCACTGCAGGCCCAGCAGCACTATCCCTGAGGGAGTAGCATAACGGCAGTCAGCGAGCAGTCCTGGCTACACAGCTGGCTCAGCTGAGTCAGCAGTGTAGCCAGGCTCCCACTCTCTCTGTGAGAACAGGAGCACGGCAGTCGGCGAGCGAGCAGTCCTTGGACCAGCCTACTTCAGAAGCTGCATTTTTTGTTCTTCCATATGCTCATAAGATAAACAAGAGTTATTGTTAAGGTCTGGCTACACTATGTATGTGTTTTCTGCGTGCGTTCTTTGCGGTTTTGCGTTTTTTTTTGCGAATTATCGTTCTATAGTTCGTTTTTTAACTTTGCCCCTCACTGTAAACGTCTCTTTGAACACAGCACGGGAATTGCTAGCTGAATTACTGAGAAAACTGCAGTTAGCGCACATTGTATTGTAGATATGAATAATATTTTCAAAATAAGTTTTGAACACCGACAATTTAACGTTATGTTAAGCACCGTGCAATTTATTTATTAGTTCAGACATAATTCCTGAGAAGTCGTCTATCCCCGTGGGGCTGTAGGTATTGGCAACTACGAGCTACGAGTTTGTGAAATACCTAGTACCTATTTAATAAATTTGATGAAATTGATCGTCTATGAAATCTGGTCAAATCAATGTGCGCCAACCAGTTTTCCCAGTAATTCAGCTAGCAATTCTTGTGCTGTGTTCAAAAAGACGTTTACAGTGAGGGGCAAACTTAACCCGGCCGGGCCCGGGGGGCAATCCCGACCACCGCAGCCCGGGGAGGGGCGTTTTTCGCCCCCCCCCCCCTGTCTAACTCCGTAAATAAGAGAGTTACGGAAACAAAAGCGATACCAAACGAAAGGTCCTTAGGAGACGATTCTAAAGCATCTAAAATTTTTGACCTCAGGTCAATTTTCAAGGTCAGAGGTCAAGGTCAAAGGGAAAAACCGGCACATGTGTAGCGATCTCAAAGTAAGCGTTCTAGAGGGCGGCAGGATGCATCAAACCGGCAAAATTGGGTGTCAAACGAAAGAAGACAATCTGAGAATTTCGAAACTGTGCTCAAAATCAAAAGTTAAGGTCAAGGTAACGCTCAAAATTGACCTCAAACTTTGCACTTTTTCGTACATCTTGCGTGCTCACATGAGGTCAACATAAAACTTGACCTTTTCCAAACAAAATATATGTATCATTCGACGCGGCTTGACAAGACGAATGCGATGGTACCACTGCCGAAGCTCTAGGACCATTTTTGTCGAAGTTATTTGCGAAAAACTAAACCCACATTTCGGGGTCGTTGACCTGACCTCTGACCTCAGGTCACCAAAACTATTTTTCTATTTTTCTCTAGGTCAAACGCTACACAACCGTGCTCGTTATTTGTCTTTATCTCTAAAATTCTATTTTTAGCAGCTATTTGAAGTTTGCGTCTGTGACGCCGAAGTTTGCCGTGCAGGGGTCTAGAAAAATCGACCCTGTGACGTCATCAAGGGGGCTAGGCCCAAACTTTTTACTTCAGAAGATGTCAAATTGATTGGAGAAAAGGTACTGAAAGTTTCGCTTTCCTATCCCTAAGCGTTCGGGAGCTATCGCAAATATTCGCCAGGGGGGGGGGGGCGAAAAACGCCCCCCGCCGGGCCCGCGAGGGTTAAAAAAACGAAATATAGAAAAGTTATAAATAATATAACGTTAACATTAGTTAGATACAAAACTTTATGTAACTCTTATACCGAGTTACATAATAGGTTAGGTCCGGCGACCTAACAATAATAACAATAACAATATTACAATGACAATGATAACAATGACCTAACAATAACAATAGGTCCGGCGAGGGTTAACTAAAATTGAATATAAAAAAACATCACAAAAACGTAATATCGTCTTTTTCTAGAACAATTTTACGCAATTAACACGTAAACCGCAAAACACGCACGAAGAAAACGTATAGTGTAGCCAGACCTTTACATGCACATTTAAATAAATAAGTGACGATGTCATTTACGCTTTTTATGCATCGGTGTTTTGATAGAAACTGACGTGCACATATACATGAATACGCAGGTTCTCCCTTACTAGGTATGTGGTCGACGGCAGCCAGAATGGCTGCCAGCTGGTCCTGGACAGCTGCTGAGCTGTTGTTAGCAGCTGCTGACCGGAGCAGCGCTGCCTCCATCCGGTCGGAGAGAGCTGTGCGGGACACCTCAGCAGCATCGAACTGGGCATCGAGGGCGGACGACAGGCCGCTCTGTGACTCGCTCAGGCTGGCGAGCCTGCTGCTCGTCGCGTTCCGCCAGTGCTGCAGGCCGTGGATTTGACCTAGTGTGTCCTGAACTGCGTCGAACTGATTAGAGACCTCGGAGTGAAGCTGCGTCAGGCCCTCAAGGCTGGCTGGAGGGTCACTTTGTGACTGAACTAAGCGGTCAAGCCGGCTGGCAGTTTCAGCTTGTCCTTGAGCTATGCTGTCCAAGAGGCTGACAGTTTCAGCTTGTGACTGTTCCAGCCTTTCGACAGTTTCAGCTTGTGACTGCTCCAACCTTTTGACAGTCTCAGCTTGTGACTGTTCCAGCCTTTTGACTGTTTCAGCTTGTGACTGCTCCAGCCTTTCGGCAGTTTCAACTTGAGACTGTTCAATGGCACCCAGCCTCGTCTCCAGGTCGGTATGTTGTCTCCGCTGCTCGAGCTGCGAGTCGTGAATGAGCTCCAGACGGCTAGAGACGGCCGATAGCCCTGACTGGAGTTCCGCCAGCGATTTGGCCAGCTCGGCCAGCGGCCCGGCCGTGGCGGCGCGGCCCGCTGATCGGTAAAACCCATCTAGTGCCGCTATCACCTGATCCAGCGACACATCCTGCTCCTCAGGCGAGTCCGGCTCTTCGGAGGGTCCCTTGGTGGAAGTTGGTTCTTCGGAGGGTCCTTCGGAGGTAACCATCGTGATCGGCCCTTCAGAAGGGCCCTCAGTGGTAACCGCTTCTTTTGAGGGTGCCTCGGTGGTAACAGCTTCTTTGGAGGGTCTCTCGGTAGAAGTCAGCTCTTCAGAACGTCCGTCGGTGATAGACGGGTCTTCGGCTGGTACCTCAGTGCCGGACGCCCCCGGATGAAGCACTCGCGACTCCGACCCCGACTCGAGCACTGCAGTGACGGCGGCCGGGGGTGTCGTGGTGAGAGGCTCCGAGCTGACCTGGCTCAGCGCGCACGCCAACAGGAGCACCGGCACCAGCATGGTGGTCAACGGAGGAGCTCGGGCCGACTGGCGATCAGCGCGGTAAGCTGGAGCGCTGGTCACATCGGCAGGCCGACAGTGTTTATACACATCTGGTCGGTGGCCCCGACATTCCGACCTGATGATAGCATGCTTTGGCCCCAGTGTTTATTGGAAATTCAGGATTGAGGTTGTGGAACGCTGTAGGGACTTACCCAGCGGTATACACTCCCTAATACGATTTGAATAGACATGACTTAACCCTCACCGGACCTATTGGTTTTCTACATACGCGCCGGCCGAGGGGGGGGGGGGGGCGGGTACGACCCCCCCTCGCCGTTTCGCCCCTGGTGGAGCTAGCGCGTGGCGGAAAAAAAACGAGCGTGTGCGCCGTTACGAGACGCAGAGATTGGTACCCCATTTTAAGGTCCTAGGTCAACCGGTGACCTCTGAGGTCAGGTCAAGTGCCCCAGGGTACGGTTCAGGTTTTGGTGAATAACTTCGCAAAAAACGGCCGCAGAGCCGCGATTTTGGCAGCATCGTGTTCGCCTCGCTCAGGCGCGTCGAATGATATGCTTTTTGTTCGGGTCAGGTCAAGTTAGGATGTTGACCTCAGGTCAAGGTCAGGTCAGCACCCCCAGGTCACGAAGTTGGTCGAAAGAGGTCATGTCGCATATCATTCGATTCGGCAGGTCTTCCTGAGTCCATTGGTGGCTTTCTCGACTCGCTAGCTCAATTTGGTCGGGAGTTATTGACGAAAAACTAATATGACCTTGATGACGTCATAAATGACGTCACGGAAGCTCAACATTGCAAAAGTGACGCATCTAACCTTGCAAGGAGTGCATCAAATCACGATTCTGTGTGCTTGAGATAGTTGGAGATCGTTTCCGGCGCCAGAATAGCAGTTTTCATTTTTCCCCATTGACTTATAATGGTGAGGTCACGAAAATGACCTGACCTCATATGACCTTTAGGGAAAATCCGAGATATACAAGTTGTGAGACTCATAATGGATACTAGATCCTGCAAGTTTCATTTCCCTGTGACATCTCCTCTGGCGGTGAGGGCGTTGCGAAGTTGCGACATCTGAAGACCGTGCAGAGGTTCACTTATGACGTCATAGGTCAGTGACCTGACCTGACCCAAAATGCAGTTGGTGTCAAAAGATGCGGCTTGGATCAAAGGTCAGGTATGCCAAGTTTCAGCTCTCTATCGCCAGTGTGTTCGGAGCTATTGCGAAAAACCCTATGGGGGGCGGCACCCGCCCCCCCCCCCCCCCCTCGGCCGGCGAGGGTTAACCCGCGCACCGACAGGGGTCTGCGCCAACTTCGTACCGACGGGGGGGGGGGCGGATGACCGCCCCCCCCCTGAGATCTCGAGAACGAAGCAAGATAGCGACAAGCGGTAAACGGCATCGGATACGCACGGCCAAGATCTACAATTTTTACTAAGGTCATTTTCAGGTCAGGTCAAAGATGACGTCACAGGGGTCGAAAAAGTCAAAATGGCGGCGCTAGATATGGAGAGAGTTTTTCTCGAATAACTTTCGAATTAGTCAAGATAGGAACAAACTAAGGGCATCATCGTGATCTTCTCGTCAATCCGCATCGAATGATATATATGTTGACCTCGAAAGGTCAAGGTCAAAGGTTGACCTCAGGTCACGTGACCTCGAGGTCATCATGTATATCATTCGATGCGTCTTGACGAGCTGAACACAATGAGACCATCCACGCGTCTGTATCTTGTTCCTGTACGGAGTTATTGGCCAAAAACCTTTGGTGACCTTTGATGACGTCACATGACCTCACAGCTGCCCAACAGCAAAACAGACCTCAAGGTAGTGAAGGTTGATCGTATATGAAGTCATGTATGGTATATGGGGCCATTCCGACCCGTTTTAGTGGTAAAAACAGGGAGTTGATTTTTCCCCCATTGACTTATAATGGGGAGGTCGCGAAATTGACCTGACCTTAGGTCACCGATATCAAAATTCCGAGATATACAAATTGTAGCTACTAATGACCTAATAATATCCTGTGAGTTTCAAAGGCCTCCGACATCTACTGTAGCTCTGGCACGGTGACAAAGTTAAAAAAGTGACTTGAGGTTGGGTCATTCAAAGTGACCTGGTGACCTGACCTTAAAAGGTAGGAGGTTCAAACTTGCACACCATGTGTAAAATTGATGAGGTTATAGTCACACCAAATTTCGCGGCGCTACGCGCCGCGGTTTTCCCGCTATTCGCGAAAAACCTCAGGGGGGCGGATATCCGCCCCCCCCCGTCGGTGCGCGGGTTAAACCGCGCCCCGTAGTGTGGGGCCGAAACGCCCCCCTCCCCCCGTTCTTTTCCGTTGATATCTTATAAGCGACTGCCGATATCGTCATCAAACTTTCAGGATACCTCCAGGCATCCATTTTACACATATGTGACCAAAAATTTCCAGAGGCTATGGTAGGTTGGCCGCAAATGACGTCAGAATGACGCCATGTTCTGCCATTTTCAACCAAAAAAATGTTTCGCGGGAAGAGCTGTGAGGGCTACAGATGTGATTGTGAAGGGAAAAATGAGAAAGACATAAAAGGTGTAGAATCAATAGGGCTATAAAACTGCTGTCTCGGATTTTTTTAACCCTCGCCCGCACATGGGGGGTGGTTGCCCCCCCCCCCCCAGGTAGTCTTCCTGCTCTGCACTCAACATTTTTAGAGCTAGAAGGCTGATTTTTCGTATATCTGCTCCTCTATCCTTATTTAATGTCCACTGAAAATTTCAAGTTTCTGTGATTTCTGGTTTCGAAGATATGACCTTGTTTTTCAGGTCATGTCATGACCAAAATGGCCAATTCTCAACATCTTGCGTTTGCCATGGGCCTTGTGAGCTTTTGACACCTTGATTTCGGCCTTTTTTGCCAGTCTTACCTCCCACCTATCATGGAACATGTTGTTCGGCGATGTACAGGTGTCAAGGTCAGGATCAAGGTCAACCTAGGTCATCTAAGATAATTGCGTTTTAGGCAAGCTCAATTTAGGTACTTTTTGTGAAGTTTTTTTGACTGCATTTTTGGTAAAAGCTTCTCAGATCATGATTTCATGAAATATGGACACAAAAACAATCGGTGCACACATCAGTATGCACACAGACACACACAGACATACAAACACATATAATTGACCTCGACCTAACTTGATCTGAAATGACCTCAGCAGCAAAAATCTGGTCGGGTAGTGTGACAAAGAGGTTCTAGCTGGGGCATTCCACGATAGATCGTACCACTTTTCTCCAATTTGACACCCTCATCTCTCGGAATTTGACGAGAATTGGTCTCAGGGGTAATCAGGGGCTCTGAATCCACCTGTAACAATTTCAGGCTTATCAGATAAGTATTTTTTTAGTTATGGTGTATAACATTTCTTGGATCTTGCTTTGCAGCGCTAAGTTTGGCGGGCTGTAACTCTAAGACGGATTATTCAAATGCCAAATGTTATATAACATTGAACTTGCAATGAAACAGAGATTAATATGTATTTTTGAAATTTCGAAAAATACGCTATTTTTGATATATGACATATCGAGTTTTCTTTCATTAGTATTTTTTGGACTTTGGGACCAAATTTTTTTGAATTTTTATTTCTTTAAAAAAATATTTGGCTCATTGTTAAGAAGTATGCAAAAAATTAGGAAGGTGTTCTTTCTATAAATGTATTTATTTTACGTCACGATAACGGTTTCGAATAGTGATTTCGGGAGGGGAGCTTACAAATGGCGTGGTAAAGCTGCCTAGTGACATCACGGGTTACTGAAATTTCAATTCAAGTCTGAGTCATCTGAAAAAAGTGAAAGGAGGGTTCATTCAACCCTCTTTCCTATAAGCGCGAGGGCGAAAAAGGCTGTTTGGTTCTGACATTGTTTTGGACGCCAATGACCATAGCTGTCCGAGATGAAAGTTACAGGACGCATACATGGTGTCCTCCAGAGGTCTCACAACTTGTATATCTGGGAATTTTTCAAGGTTACATGAGGTCAGGTCGGTCACGTGACATCACTGTTATAAATCAATGGGGAAATATAAAAACTGTTATTTTGACGCCGAGAATGATCTAAAACTATCCCACGTACATGGTATCGTGATTTCATGCACTCCTTGCAAAGTCCAATGCTTTACTTTTGCATTGTTAACCTTGCGTGACGTCATTTATGACGTCACTAGGGTCGTACGAGTTTTTCGTCAATAACTCCCGATCAAATGGAGCTAGAGAGTCGGGAAAGCCACCAATGGACTCGGGAAGACCTTCCGAATCGAATGATATGCCATATGATACCCTTTGCCCAGCTTCGTGACCTGAGGGGCTCTGACCTGACCTTGACCCGAGGTCAACTACTTAAGTTGACCTCACCCTAGCAAAAAGTATACCATTCGATGCACCTGAGCTAGGCGAACACATTGATGCCAAAATCGCGGCTCTGCGGCCATTTTTTTGCGAAGTTATTTACTAAAAACCGAACCCGTAACTTCAGTCACGTGACCTGACCTCAGACGCTACCGGTTAATCTGAGACCTTAAAATCGGGTACCAATCGCTGCGACTTGTAACGGCACACACGCTCGTTTTTTCCGCGAGGCTCTAGCTCTATTAGAAGCGAAACGGCGCGCTGGGGTCGTATCAACCCCTCCGAAACCCATTTTGTTTGCGGGAAAATGAGGAACTTATAGAAAGAACACCTTTCTAATTTTTTGCATGTCGATTTGCAATGACATGAAGATTATTTTGAAAAAAATAAAAATGTGAAAAATTTTGGTCCCAAAAGTCATTAGAGGCAAATGAAAAAAGATTAAGGTTTTTGCTCAACAATGAAATTTTTTCTTTGGAATTTTTAAATAATAATATTAATTTTTGATTCATTGCAAGCTTAGTGTTGTTTACTTTTTGTTGGTTGCTTAACCCGTTCTTGAATTATAGGCCATCAAACTCACCGCTACATACCGAAGTTAAAAACATGTAATGCAATATAACTCAAAAAGTTTTGATCTGAGAAGTCTGATATT